AAAAAAAAAAAGGCAGTTATATGATGATCCCTCTACGGCAGTGGTTTACAAACTCATTTTGTTTTCAAAACAGAGGAGCCGTTTCTTATAATTAAATCATCTTTGAGATAAAAGGACCCGTTCTGATTAAAGCAAGGGTGAGCAAAATAGAGTCCCAACTACGGGACATGTCCCCTCCCCACCGTTCTGAAGCTACTGACGTAACCCCAAGAACCCCCGGGGTCTGGAAACCACTGTTTTACAACATGCTTTGGTGTCTATCTAGGTGTTATATTCACTGTTTAAGCTACAGGATAGCAGTGCTGAATAATAGCTGTGTTTTGTTTATTAGCTTTTAACATTTCTCATAAAACATTTATTATGCAAGTTATCTTTCCTGTGCCACATAAAAAGCATTGCCTTTACCCCTACGTAATCCGTAGATTGTTCCTGAAACTTTTTCCTACTTTCAAATGCCATGCAGAATTCTGACCACATATTCCCAGCATCAGCTACCCGCTTTCCATGTAGCTTCATGACAGCTGCAAATATACCGCGAACAGTTTCTAAGCTACATCACTGATGAGCACAGAAGCAACAGGACTGACCCGAACGTGCTGTGTTAATAAAACACGTGGTATATATTTTTTTCCCCTCTCCAAACAAAAGTCCAAATTAATGAAATCCCTCTTCTGCTAAATTTCCTAGAAGCGCCGAGCTACAAAAAAATGCATAATCTATAAAAAGTGATAAAAAGAATCGTAAAAAGCAGACTCATTCTCTTTACTACTAACCTAATAAATTTAACAGCCAGGCCCAGGTCGGCTATGCAGCAAGTTCCATTCTTCTTCACCAGGATGTTCTTGCTTTTCAGATCTCGATGGGCAATGGCCGGTTTGCCTTGAGTACTGAAGATTTCGGTGTGCAGGTGACATAAGCCACTGACGGAAGAGTAGGCCAACTTCAGCATTGATTTAGCGTCCAGGGTGGTGGACTTCAGATAATCATAAAGGGAACCATTTTCGTGGTAGTCTGTGATCAGGTACAGCTGGGTCCAGGACCCTGTCCCTTTGATATCTGCAGCAATGAAGCCTAAAAGGAAACCAGACAGAAAGGTTTGGCGGCGTTTTCTGAAAAGTATCAGGAACAATTCATATTCTCAAAAAACCATTCTTTCTCATGGGTATCTTTTGTTTAGCATTTTATTCAATTTTCTGATTCTGCCTCTGATCGTCTTAAATGACTAATGCCGATCAGAGGCAATCAAAATTGTAGGGGTAGAGAAAGATTAAGAACGTGTACCTGAAAATACGCTCCCTTTCTGATCAGTAGGTGATGTCTACATTATTTTACGGTATTACAGCTACATATAAGACACTATTTACAAAACAGGGTCTTAAGGCATACACCCCACACTCTTACTCTCTTTCTACTTGAATGATTGAGACAGATCGTTTCTAAATTGAGAAAATAAAAAGTAAACCGATCGCCAACATAAACTCTTGATAGAAATAAATCCTGCAGATGAAATTCCTTTAACTATTCACAACGCTGAAACGAAAATACACTCCTTCAAATCCCTAAGAAACCCTAAAAAATTCTGCTATTACATTTGCATTTCCTGTTTCTTAAGCAAAAACGTTTGAGAGTTTTCCATTTCCAGCCCAACATGCATTCGCATTAGGGCCTTAGTCATTCCTCCTGTGAGGTCTCCCATTAGAGGCCTAGGACGTTCTTGGGCCCATGCCAGGAAGAAAACGTCCATACATTTCATAACGGGTCTAGACAGATGAGTTAATATGCAGATGTTAACAGAAAGACGGGAGAAAGCTGGGAAACCCTGAACGTTGCAATGCAGACTTTTACTCACCCAAGATGTTTTCGTGCCTCATCAACACCGTCTGATATATTTCTGTCTCTCGGAACCAGCTGGCTTCCTCTGTGGTGAAGAAGACTTTCACAGCTACCTTTTCGCCACGCCACTTTCCCATCCAAACTTCCCCATAGCGACCTTTTCCAATCTGTTTCACCATCTGAATCTGCTTAGCTATAGTCCTCTGGACCTGTGAAATCCCAAAACACACTGTTAGTGTATTCACAGCACTACAGATTTGTTTCATTTTTTTTTCCTACGCAGAAGAAACAATTACTACATGTAGAATATATTTAGCCTGCACTTTTCTTTATACAGAGACGTTATTTGTATTTATTTATTAATCTGTTCTGTGCCCTTTTAAACGTATTTAAGATCAATTGCGGATGCCGAATGTTCAAAATATTGCTTCCAAGTTACTAAATATTTCATTCTATCAATTATAATTTTCATAGAGAGAAAACCTGAATGGGTTCACAGAAATTGGCAGAACGCTTTCCACTTTCACCACTATAATGAGATACGAGATGCTCGGAGGGGACTCTTGCCACCATAAACCTAATTGTGTATAAAATACAACAAAACAAAACTGAAATGCATTGTCAGGCACACAAGGAAGTAAAGGAAATCTCCAAACAGGGAAGGAGGGAGGAAGAGAGGGAAGAAAGGAGTTGAGACCAAAGCAAAGAACAAGCGGTATTAAGCATCTACAAGAAGCCAGGTTGCTGTCTGAGCAAGGAAAAATACCAACATTGGGATCCAGAGTCTTTGACCCCTTTAAAATTAGAGGAACTGACTCCAGGGCGTCAGCATCCAGCTGGGACCATCAAATGGTACTAAATTCGCGCTAGGTTGTAGCACACATTGGCTCCCAAATACAACCCCTCTCTTGAGGAAATCATTTGCGGAATTCATTTCGTTCTATGACTACAGTGGGCTAACAGTACTTTGAAGGAATTTTTGTCACTATGAGTTGATCATGGATAAAATATTTAATATAAGAAATAAACTGTAATACACTGGCAGCCTCACAAGAAAATAAAGAAAATCTCTAAGAGGCGGGGGGTGGGGGATAGGAGAAAAAGGAACAAAGAGAAGAAAATGTAGGGAGAAAAGGGGAAGAGTGAGAGAAGATACCGCAGAATAAATTCCTTAAAATGAAAAGAAACAGGCAACATAAATGAGAGTCAACAGAAACAACCCCAACAAACTTAACCACTTCGGGTTACGTATTGGAAGTTCAGATATAGAAGGTCAAGTAACTACGCAGCAAATGTGTAAAGAAAATAGAAGATGGAATGGAAAATAAGCAACAAAAGATTATTGCAAACTACACTTTTGAAGAGCAACAGTTAATTGTTACATGCAAAAATGCAAAATGGAAAGGCGAAACAGTAGATGGGAGAGAAAAGGTAATGAGTTAACAAGAGAAAGTAGCAAACGGGAGAGGAAGTTTTTTTACCAAGCTCTAAAAGAGCTCTGAAGACACAAAGTGTGTGGTAGAGACAAAGAGAAAGAAAATACGAGTTAAGTGGCATCAAGGTTAAATGTCTCCTTATCCATGATCTTCATCCCACCTGCACTTAAAATATTCTTAATATTTTAATATAACCATTGAATTCTGAAAACAATAGTCATAAGACTGAAAGAGCTAAGTATCTATTATAATTTAGATAATTTAGATAATTTAGAACACATACATAAAGAATCGATCAAAGAACTTCCATAAGATCTGATCAGAAAACTGGGATGTACTTTTTGTAGAGATATGCTTTACATCAAGTAAAAACTTAAAAGCGTTTCTTTTTGTGTTCCTAAGGCCCCTGCCATGACACTGGGCCAACCCGGATAATCCAGAATGATCTCCAAATCTCATGGGTAGCTGATCAGCAACCTTAATTCCCCTTTGCCACGTAACGTAACAGACCCTAGGGACTAGGATATAGACATTTCCAGAGGGCACTTTCTGCCTATCACAGATGTCTGTGAACTAGGATGGGTTCTGTTTTTCAGCAATGGATGACTTTATCAATTAAAGAGGCAACGCTATTCAGTGCCGGAATCGTTACAGGCACCAATGTCAGATTGAAAGCTTTTGGGAAAAAGACAGTCATTTTTTTTCTAAGAGGATTCAAGAGGAAAAGAATTGCTGATAATGCCAGGAAGCCAGGGAAGCCCGATGAAATAAGCAAGGCCACATGTGTGCGAGGTGTCGTTCAGCACCCTGGACCTCCATTCCCAAACGAGGAAAACACAAGCGTCAAGAGCACCAAGCGGTTGCAAGTCAAACACACAAATAGTTAAATTGCTCACTGGAGTGGACAATGCCCACATTTATTAAAGAAATTCTATATTTTCTTTGCAGATGTTACAAAGCGTTGTTCTTGTAAGTCCAGGTGATATTTCCTAACGTAAACGGTTTTGCATCTGCTTCTTTTCTAATGATAATATATCTCATAATTCAATAAAAGGACTGATAATTGGCAAGGCTCGATAGAACAGGAAAAATTTATCACAAAGATAAAAAGCGTTGTTACTAGGGAGTGAGATGGCTGAACAGAAACCTCCGGCGATCGTCCCTCCGAACGACCACCAATTTCAACAACTATCCACGCAAGCAAGCACCTTCGGGAGAACCAAAAATCAGGTGAGTGATCCTACCACCTAGTTTTAACACTAAATCAAAGAAAGAGGCCCTGAGGAGAGCAGAAGAGACAATCTTGCATGGCCTATAGCAGCACCCCTCCCCCAGCCCCCCCTGGGCCAGAAGGAAACACATTGCCCTGAAGGGAAGGACCCAGTCCTGGCAGGATCCACCACCTGCTGACTAAAGAGCCCTTGGGCTCTGCATAGACATCAGGGGTAGCCAGGCAGCAGTCACCATGGGCTTTGGGTGAGACTGGGCTGGTTTCAGGTGTGACCTGGTGCTGGTGACCATGATGGAGTGCCCACACCACTCTTCTCCCAACCCCACCAGCCCAGCATGGAGTGTGAGAAAAGAGAGTGAGAGACTGTGTCTGGTAACCCAGGGAATTCTCCTGTGTCTTACCCAAGTCCACCAAGGTGGTACCACCAGGAGTCTCCCAGAGTCACCACATTACGAGGCCTGAGGCATCCTCAGTGCTAATATGGCCACAGTGACCAAAGACTCAGATCACAATACTCAATTCCCTTTGACTATCTGGAAAGCCTTCTCAAGAAGGATGGGGTCAAACAAGTTCAGACTGCAAAGATTAAAATTAATACCTAACTCTTCAATGCCCAGACATCAATGAACATCCACAAGCATCAAGAACATACAGGAATATATGACCTCACCAAATGGACTAAATAAGGTACCAATGACCGATTATGGAATGATGGAGTTACATGACCTTTCAGACAAAGAATTCCAAATACTAATAGCTGTCCTGAAGAAGCTCAATGAACTCCAAGATGACACACAGAAAGAATTCAGAAGGTTATCAGAGAAATTTAATAAAGAAATCAAAATTCAAAAAAACAATCAAGCATAAATTTTGGAGCTGAAGAATTTAACTGACAAACTGAAAAATGCATTAGAGTCTCTTACTGACAGAATTGACCAAGCAAAAGAAAGAATTATCACGCCTGTAATCCTAGCTCTCTGGGAGGCTGAGGTGGGCGGATTGTTTGAGCTTAGGAGTTCGAGACCAGCCTGAGCAAGAGCGAGACCCCATCTCTACTAAAAATAGAAAGAAATTAATCGGACAACTAAAAATATATACAAAAAATTAGCTAGGCATGGTGGCGCATGCCTGTAGTCCCAGCTACTCGGGAGGCTGAGGCAGGAGGATCGCTTGAGCCCAGGAGTTTGAGGTTGTTGTGAGCTAGGCTGACGCCACGGCACTCTAGCCCGGGCAAAAGAGTGAGACTCTGTCTCAAAAAAAAAAAAAAAAAAAAAGAAAGAATTAGTGAGCTTGAAGACAGGCTATTTGAAAATTCAGTCACAAGATAAAAAAGAGTAACTAGAAAATAGTCTCAAAAGGGCAAATCTAAGAGTTATTGGCCTTAAAGAGGAGGTAGAGAGAGACTGGGGTAGAAAGTTTATTCAAAGAAATAATAACAGAGAACTTTCAAAACCCAGAGAAAGATATCAATATTTACGTATAAGAAGGTCACACAACACCAAGTAGATTTAACCCAAACAAGACTACCTCAAGGCATTTAATAATCAAGCTCCAAAGGTCACAGATAAAGAAAAGGTCATCAGGGAAGCAAGAGAAAAATAAGATATAAAGGAGCTCCAATACATCTGGGCAGCACACTTCTCAGTGGAAACCTTACAGGTCAGGAGAGCATGGCATGGCATATTCAACATGCTGAAGGAAAAAAACCTTAACCCTAGAATATTATATCCTGCAAAAATATCCTTCAGACATAAAGGAGAGGCCAGGCACGGTGCCTCATGCCTGTAATCCTAGCACTTTGGGAGGCCGAGGCAGGAAGATTGCTTGAGGCTAGGAGTTCAAGACCAGCCTGAGCAAGAGCAAGACCCTGTCTCTGCAAAAAGAATAGAAAAATCAGCCAGGCGTGGTGGCACACACCCATAGTCCCAGCTACTCGGGAGGCTGAGGCAGGGAATTGCTTTAGCCCAGGAGTTTGAGGTTGCGGTTAGCTACAATGACACCACTGAGACCCTGAAACTACTAAAAGAAAACATTGGGGAAATGTTTCAGGACATTGGTCTGGGCAATAATGCAACACTTGCAAACTACCCATCTGACAAGGAATTAATAACTAGAATATATAAGGAGCTCCACAGGAAAAAGTCAAATGATCCGATTAAAACATGGGCAAAGTATCTGAACGGACATTTCTCAAAAGAAGACAGACAACTGGCCATTAGGTATATGAAAAAATGCTCAATGCCATTAGTCATCAGAGAAATGCAAATCAATGCTACAATGAGATTTCTCACTCCACTTAAAATGGCTTTTATCCAAAAGACAGGTAATAATGAATGCTGGCGAGGATGTTGAAAAAGGGGAACTCTCGTACACTGTTCATGGGAATGCAAATTAGTGTAACCACTATGGAGAATAGCATGGAGGTTCCTCAAAAACTAAAAATAGAAGAATCATATGAGCCGGCAATCCCACTGCTGGGTATATATCCCAAGGAAGGGAAATCAGTATATCAAAAAGTTATCTACACTCCCATGTTTACTGCAGCACTATTCACAATAGACAAGATTTGGAATCAACCTAAGTGGCCATCCATGGATGAACGGACAAAGAAATTGGTACATATAAACAATGGAATATTATATAGCCGCAGAAAAGAATGAAATCCTGCCATTTGCAACCACATGGATGGAACTGGAGAACATTATGTTAAGTGAAATAAGTCAAGCACAGAGAGACAAATCTCACATGTTCTCCCTCATACGTGGGGGCTAAATATTAAAAACAATTGATCTCATGGAGACAGAGAGGAGAATGATAATTACCAGAGGGTGGGAAGGGCAGCAGGGAGAGGGAGATAAAATGGGGATGGTTGATGGGTACACAAATATAGTTAGATAATTAGTCAGAATGAACAATATATGACAGCATAACAAAGAAGTTAGGGTATACTTTAAAATAACTAAAAGAGCAGAAATGTAACGTTCCTAACACAAAGAAATGATAAATGCCTGAGGTGACAGCTACCCCAATTACTCTGACTTGATTAATTCACACTGTATGCCTAGATCAAAATATCGCATGCACTCTATAAACGTATACAATTATTATGTACCCATAATAATTAAAAATTTAAAAAAAACGGCTGGTACTAACTAGCCCAGAAAAAATATTAAATTTTATTCAGAAATTTAAAATAGACTTGCATCATGATATTTATTCCATCTAAGGACCTAAAAATATAACTTGAAACTTTTTAAAACTGATTTATTTTATTTTTTATTTGATTTGGTAAACGTTTCTGGTCTTATACCTAAACAACTTTCATTCTATATTACATTCTTAGATATCAATTTGTAAACGTTTGATTGCATAAATGCCTGTAAAATATAATCACTATATCTGTAATTCCCCAAAGAGAATTATTTCATGTATCTGGGAACAACTGAATATGTAAGGATTTACAAGGAATTATCACTATTCCGAGATTGTCATCTCATCCAGTGATTAGATATTTGATAGTCTCTAAAGTTTAAGTTCACGTATGGACACTAGAAAACACGGAGCTGTAAATAACGCTCTGTACTCTCTACTATATCCCTGAATTAGCAACACACATACACACGCCCAACCCTCTATGCACAAATATACGGATTAAAACACTTTGCTTAATAAGGTTAAACTAATACTACATATGGGAAAGACTTTTTGGAAAAGATTCCTCACTTAAGAAGCTTCAAAGGTATCAAGTAAACAAGATAGCCAAAGTCAGAACCAGACCACAAGGATTAGGAAAATCAATCTTAAGAGTTTATTAAGAAAAATATTTCTCATTAATTTTCATATTTCTCAAAAGTATAAAAATATTTCTAAGTAATTAATCGTTTCCATCCCAAATCACAATCTTTCTACATGGCCCATAAAAGACTCAAACACTTTTCTCATTAAAGCAAGAACCTTGGATTTGACATATATTCTCTTCAATATTGACGGTGCTGACCATCAGACAATTAAACCTCTCCCGAATGGAAAAGCCAGGACTTCGCCCTGAAACATAAACCCTGCAGCTGAAACACAGCCTTCTTCCTTTGTGGAAGCACTCAGATCCCAGTTGCTTGTAATACTTTTTGCCTTCAAAAGCCAGGCCAAAGTGCACTCATGCTATCCTGATGGAAACAGAGGGAAGATGGCCCCGTGTTTAATGTTTTCTAATCTGCTCTTTATCGGAACGTCGGAGGGTCTGGATTGTGACCATATACCGACATTAAAAAACAATCACCTTACCCTCAATATGTCAAAATGTCATCGGGAAGCCCTGCATCTGACATCTGATGTCCAGCCCCACTGCACAGAGCTTTCTCCTTGTCCACCGCCCGGTCTGTTTCAGTAAAACGAAACCCTGTACTTATTGACATTTCCTCTCAGAACACATTTCCTTTAAATTCACGGTGTGTTCTTCTCCTACCAGCAGAGGGAGGCCTGATCCGCTTCCCGAGCTTTGCGACTGCTCAATTAGGTCTCGCAGGGATTCTCCGGGAGGAATGTCAGCCTGTTGCAACCCCAAGCTGTACCGCGGTCTGGTTTCTTGTCTCTTATACCTCAAGAAGGATAGATGAAGATAATTTAAGAAATGCAATGATAGGAGTAAAACATTGCAGCTGAAACAATAATCACAACAGAATTTATTTTAGCACATAAATACAACACGAGATTAAATGCTTCGTATTTGTTGCCCTTAGTTATGGCTTCCAAAATACGAATAATTATTATTTTGCTAACCTCTTTTTTTTTTTTTTTAAATAAACTCTACATGTTTAGTCTCGACCATCTACAACTTTTCTTCTCATTTGCTTTCGATTGCATATATCCAAGCAGGCTACATTCTGTTGGTGGTTCTAAACAGCTCCAATATTCATTCCCTAAAATCTTTTTATGAGGTCCCTAGTTAATGAAAGCTGCAAATTTTTGGTTTACAAAAACATTATAGCTAACTCTCTCATATAAGGTAATGTATAAAGCAAAAACAGATAAATAAAATTAAACTTCACAAACTTTGTTAATAACTACTATGTCTTCAATTAGAAATGAATTTATCTGAATCAACTAATCCATTCATTTACAAAGTATCACAAATGAGTATTCAATTATTCAAAAGGCAAATGATATAAAGGTCCTTGATATTTCTCAAAAAGAAAATAAGTTTTTAGGCGACAATTTGTAACTACCATACTTAACTTTAATAACTGAACGTGCTTTAATAATTAATCTATAAATTGTAATTAAAATATTTTAATACTAAGAGGAATTTTTTAGCTCAGGAAATAAGGAGTTACTGGGGCCACTTTTAGTTCAAGATGCCACTTCCTCTACTTAGAATCCAACCTAAGTAGCAGCGAGGCCCTGAATTTCCCAACTAACCTAGTTTCCCTAGGGATGAAATATTTATCTGGGTAGTTACGATGTCCGAAGCAGAAATGAGATAGGTATCTATGTATAACTTCATTAGGACAAATATTTATCAGCAGTAACAGGTATTTTCAGTTAAATATAAAGATCTAAGTAGGTCAAAGAAAGCTGCGGTGAAAAGCATCTACAGGAAAAAGTGGTAGAATATTAATATAAGGAAGATACTAACAACTCAAAATTCTACATCGACATGCTGGAAACTTACCTGAAGTAACAGAATAAAATGAGGAGGACCAAGAGCAAACTACAGACAGTCACAGATATAAGTAAAGCCTTGTGGTGTATAGGTCCGTCGACAAAATCTGAAATGCAAAAGAAAGAGAGCCGTTAACAGGAAGGATATTTTCACTTAAAAATGAGGAAGCTATTCTTTCCTTGAAGTACTTGCTAAGCATCCGTGCAAGATATGAAAGACCCTTTCAACATGTCAAGTGATCGTAAAAAAAATACATATATACTCAAAATTAAATAAGCTTGACCAGAATGAATCATGACTCATCTAGGCCCTTATTTCAAAAGCACACATTTCTTCCCCTCTGAAAGGTACAGGTTTGACACAGGATAAAACCGCAGAAAGAACATGAACACAGGTAAATGGATGTGTGCGCCTAAAATCTAAGCAAGTAGTTAATCTTTATTCCGGATCCATCTGATGGGTTCACAGACTCTCTTCATGTGGTCGTGAATTTGAATAAAAAGTGAATCTATAAATCATTGTACATAAAACACAAAATCATCTTATGATGAATATAAAAGGACTACTCAAATGTCGCCAAATATAGAATGTATGGGTGTGCGTCACTTTAAACAAAGGTGTCCTTCAAAAACACATAGCTTCATTTTTTATAATGGAATCAAATTTTAAAAGAATGCCTATGTTCTAGCCAAAGAATGTGTTTTTTATAGAACAAATTATTAAACGTTATTTTGTTTGAACTCGAGTTCTTGAGAAACCAGATTTACTTGGAGCATGATTTCTCAAACATTATGTAAATAAGAATGACTTAGCTTTATACAAATGCATTTTACTGACTTTAATCCTAGAGATTTTTATTCAAAGTATTTTATTTTTTAATCATCATCCCAGGTGATTTTTATGCAGGTGGTCGCTGGTCCCAGCGATATTTTGAGAAAACTGACTTAAAACCAGGTGCACTTATATGGTAATAGAATTAGGCACTGTTCTTATCAAGGGTACCATGCACCTTTGAGAGAGTGATTACCATTATTTAATTTTAAAAGTAGTATTGTGATTTCTGACTTCGGTTACTATGGACAAGAGGCTTTCCAACTATGCAGTATACCTCTAACTATATGGCCACCTGAATATTTTAGCTGGAGACCTTATCCCACCCAATGTAACTTCTTTCATTCAAAAGTATTATACGTTCCAAGAAGAAAAATTGAAAAGAACAAACTAACTAAAGTAAGATAAACAAAATCACTACTTCCTCATTACTCAGGAAAAATTACTGCTAACAGTTTAGCATACGGCACTGCAGTATAATTTCAATGAATAAAAGAAGTTCATGACCAAATATTTCACAAAAAGGCATCATTATATTGCCTTACAACCAGATTGTTTTCCTTTATAAATTAAATGTGAATATTTCCATGCACAAAAAAATTTTGTAACATGATTTTTAGTTGATTTTTAACTTTTTAAAAAATTACTTATCCTTTCAATGGACACATAATCATTTTACATATTTATGGGGTACATAGTGATATTTTGATATATATGATGTATACTGATCAGATCAGAGCATTAAATAATTAGCATATCCATCATCTCAAACATTTATCATTTCTTTGTGTTGGGAACACTCAAGGTCCTCCTTCTAGCTATTTGAAATTACATATTATGGCAACATGATTTTTAAAAACTAGGTTGTATTATATGTAGAGACATCCTAATTAGAAAGCCATACATCTGTTGTCATAGATTTAGGAGATTTCAAAGATTCTGCTGTAAGACTTCTTTGCTTTAATATGTAAAATTCTGTAATGAACACTCTTACACATACATCTTTGCACATGTCAATGATTAGTTCCTTCATGAAGATTTCTAGAAGTAGAATTATTAGTTCAAAGGACATATATTTTAAGTGTTTCCATATATACCATCAAATATCCTTTAAAAAGATTGCAACGGTTTCTATTTTACCATTGATGTGAACATATATTTTAATTATTTTGAAATAATTTCAGCCTTAGAGAAAAACTGTAAGAAAAAAGAACTCCAGTAAGTCCTTCACCCAGATTTCTCATTGTTAACATTTTATATTATAATTCTGTTGCTCTCTTAGTGTTTATTTCTCTCATTCTCTCTAATACGTAAATATGTATACATTTGCATCTTTTAATTATTTGGGTGTCTGTATTATTTTTGGATCATTTAAACTTGCAGACATAATGCCCCTATCCACTGATAAATACTTCAGTGTACACTCTACAATTTTCAAAATCAGGATATTGACATGAACACATAAATCAAAAATAAACGTTACTTTAAAATATTTCAGAGACAGTTTAGATTATACATTAATATATAATACATAGTATATTTAACGTTACAAACTACAACTCACAAGTACAAATCTCTTGTCCAAATCTCATGATGGTCAATGCCATGATTTACTCATCAGTCTAAAATATATATGTTTAACAGCTATTTATGATCCATACATACTACTTGTAAAATACTAATGAAAGCAACCTACATCTGAGAAGACTAAATGAAAGACCACTAAAGACAAGAAGTTTTATATTAATAAATTCAGGAATGTTGCCAATGGTCCAGGAAAAAAGAGTTCAGGAACTTGAACCACTACAGTACCTGTCCAAAAAAGCCATTCAGGTTTACGGCCATACCACCCCGAATGCGCCCAATCTTGTCTGATCTCAAAAAGCCATTCAGGCTTTGAGACAAACAAATCATACCTAGTTAGCACATTCACTGTCTGAAACGTGTCGCTTAGTAAATCTGGGAATGTAATTTATAAGCTCTTAAAATTAATCAGGCTAAAATTTTACGCAATGAATTGTCTTAGCAAATTTTTTTCTCCATTCCACCATGCAGCGTTAACAGCAGATCCAAGATGTCGCACTACCTCCGCCAGGGAAAGCACATTCATGACGTTGCCGTGCGTATCAGGCATAGGACTATCATAGCATGTAAAGTTATGTAAGGCATGTAAAGTGTCATAGCACATACCTGTAAAGACTGCTGCTGGCAACTTAGCTTGAAATGTATTTCCTATTTTATAGATAACAGAAGTCTGATTTTGCAGAAATCCAAAGAAAATGCTAGATACTCAAAACTAACCATATAATCCACAGCATGCTACAAATATATGAACACAGAATACTTTTCCAGTCCAGTGATGTAATTTTACTAAAGCTCTCGGCTTCACTGCCCACGTAAATGCGAGACACAGAACTCACCCTGAGCTGCAAGAACACCGTTTATTACTTATCTTATTTCTGATGTATGAGAGCAGTGAGCCCAGAAGGATCTATGGGACTCTTTCCTTGCCATCAAGCCCTGTATTTAAGGCTTGCGTTACCTTCCCGTTTTGCTTTCCTTTGCCCCATAACCCTGTCCCCTGCAGCCTCGTCTACTGCCTGCTTGTCTTCCCTCATGCATGGGTGATCCTTATCGATACACCTTTTGTTTCTGCCGGTCACGCTGGCCATGTTTTAATCTGCCATCACCTGTGCTCAGAGCATTAACAATGTAAACGTCCGAGTCACTGCCAGCGTCTCAGAAAGTGAACGCTTCCAGATACCCATCGGGGAAAGAGGAGAGCCTGCAGCTCTCTCCAGGGTGGCAGATTTCTACCCTGTGCTGCGACTCCAGCTGCCCGGGGAAGTGGAAGCAAGGACTGCCCAGGGAAGTCCGGTTCGCCCTGAGAGCAAGCACGAATCGCCAGTGGTAATGACAGAACCGCATTCTGTCGCTGCTGTCTCCTCGCTAATAATTAAGTGGTTTGCAGCTGCTTAAAATGCTAGGACTGTTCTTATAAGGCTAGCAGATGGTTCGCAATGATGATAAAAAATGAAAGAAAAAAAATCATATACCTAGAAAAAATTTTGCAAATAACCACTGATGTCTGGCAAACATATATAGCACACGTCCAGCAAAAATACCGTGCACGTGTGTAGAGGGAGGCAAAAGAAAAGAAAGGCAGCAGCTCTATGGTATAAAGGTGGTGCTCTCAGACCAGAGCCTGCAGTGACTTTTCCTGAACCCCAAAAAGGTGAGGTGGAATGTGCAAAGACCTTGCCTAGGCCCGACCTGGGATCCTCGGGGTTCAAAGCAGTGAACCCTAATGCCACCAAAGCCAGTCACTCACACGATGCTCAGGAGAATCCGCCGGCCGCCCCTGCATCCCCAGCCCACAGCGCCCTGGATCGAGGCCTTGTCCTCCCACGGTTCCTCCCCTTCTTTTCTAAGCTGTTTCACTCCGTCCTCTAGGGACTCAGTCCACTGTTTCTGTAAGGGCCCGTATCTCAGTCTCCTCGGACAGTGCGCCCTCGCCTTGCTAGTCCTAGCTGGAATCTGGTTCCATCTCGCTTAGGTATGAGATTTTTCTCCAACTAGACACGCTGTTTCATACTCCTATATTTTGCAAAGACTTCTCAAATATTACAAAGCAGACCTCTGCACTTAACTACTGCCTCTGTTTACGGTCACCGCTACTTTTAGACTGTGCAAACTTAGGAAAGTTAATAAGCCTTTCTGTCCTGCATTTTCCTCATATTTAAAGTGGAAACAACAATCCTAAGTACCTCTTAGGGCTCTTGTGAGGCTAAAATCGATTAATTTATGTAGTACTTAACACACTGCTAGGCGAATGTTAACCATTTTAATTTTTAAATTTTTATCTACTTGGCCTATTCTGTCCTTATCCACTCAGCAAACTCCTGTTCATCCTTAAAAAGTCTTGTTCAGGTATCACTTCTATAAAGCAATTGTGACATCCTCCCATCCCAGACATAGGTAGCTATTGACTCTTTTGTGTCCTTAATACGCTATATAACTTAACTCTACTACTGAGATACTCCTGACCAAATGTAATTTTAGTTATTTATATGCTTTTCTCTTATACCCTAGTCTACACTTTCGGGAAGAAGAATTTTCTTCATCCATTTCTATATCCCTAACACCTAGCATGTTGCCTGGCAAAAAAAATAAACAAAAACAAAAAAAAAAACCTTCCTGTAAGGTTTTGATGTGAGTTATTATGAACCAATCTTTTATAGCTTTCTAGACTACTATAGAAAAAAATGTTGTACAATGTTATCCACGTCATGAAATTCCATTACATTTTGTTGGAAAGAGTTTCTCTTCTCAAGAAATAAAATCAATCATGAGGGATCATTCTAAATCACTTAAATAAGTCTTAAGATTTAAAACCCTGCAACAATTACAAATCATTTATCTTGTGGTGAGAGCAATGAGGAGAAAGGAAACATGGGAGCCGTTCCTAACGAAACGTCTCTTGGGATGCAATATTTTTTTTAAACGAGCAACTCTTAAATGTATAAGTTTTGAAATCAAAACGTGTAGACATCCTTCCCATTTTATCAATATATTGATATACGATTTGACTAAAAACTAGTTACTCTAGCATAAATAAAAGGAAATGCCATACAGCACATAATCTTTGATTTATGGTCTTTAAGGTCTTTATTATCAAAATAAATGTAGCCAAATGATAGTTTTTAAGTGAAAATGCAACTGCTGAATAACTTTTAGGGGTAAACATAGAGCTCCATCTCCCTACTCTATCCTCCTGCAACACACATACCCTAGGCACTGTAGCTTTCTGAATGGAAATGGGGAGAAGTTAAAGTAATAAAAAATCCCAAGAGTGAAGCCACATACAACTATTTTCCCAAGAACCACTTGCTCATGTCTTTAAATGACAGCTTCGTTATGTCATCTTGCCTCAGTTCTCTGCTCCTGGATTGGAAAATGGTGCAGGTAGACACATTTGGAAAAGAGCTAGCAATTCTATAGTTGTTATTTTCCTTATGCCTACATCTTTTCCAGCCCAGAGCCTTGCTCACCTTACCTCTGGTTTTCAGCGGAGGCAGGGTAGGGTGTAGGTCTTTATTACACTCGTTCCTTTCTGTGCAGCACTCAATTGATCTTCTTTGATGAGGAATGGGAGTGTCCTACAATGGAAACCAAACATCCGTTAGTGGGTTTCCTCTAAATTTCAAAGTCACATCATCTAAAAACTTAAGACATTATTGCTACTGAGAGAATTTACTTAAAATTCTAGTAATCTGGCCGGGCGCGGTGGCTCCCGCCTGTAATCCTA